GGGACTGCCGGCCAGTAGTGAAATATCATATTGAGGTTTCTCCGGTGGTGATCAATACTGAGACGAGATGATTATGATATTATGATATTATGCCTGGAGACGACGTATAAAATTACATGGCGATGAAACAAAGGGAAACCTGTGTTCTAGCTGCGAACATGAAAAACCGTCTGACTAAGGAGTTATACCTCCTTCACGGAGTAAAAATCCTGTTCCGACTTTTACTGGCCTGAAATCGATTTGGGTGCATTCACAATATCATGCGTACGCAGGCTGTGATAAGCCCCGATACCCTTGCATGGCAGTCTTGTACTTTTCATAGCCACCAGAGGGCCTACACTTCTCCCTGATCCCCAAAGACGGGGAATACTAGTAAGCTATAACGTTAGTTCCCCACTGACAAGCAATGGGCAGCTACTTTGGCCCAGTGCTAACATATGACCATATGCACTGCAGCTCAGTCAGATCAGATTTGCAGACTGGGTGGGGAAGGGTTCTGTACCGCACCAGACAGCAAGACTTTTTGCTTTTGTTACACAGAATACAGCCGGCTCAAAACACTGCTGACATTGGTTCAATCACATATAAGATGATGAAGCGTTGAAATGAAAAATACATCATCGGCAATAGCTCGAATCCGTCGAACCATACAATAAAGGAAAAAGGAAAGAACATGACAAGAGAGAAAAGAAAGAATACTGTAAAATGTCTAAAAACAAAGAAACAAAGGACCAATTTGTTACTACCCGAATCAGACTTGTTTCCCAGTGACTCGATCCTAATCTAGTTACAGTTAATTACCTAACAATACTTTCCCAAAACAACCCCACCACACGTTCCACAAGTTCATGGGAAATCTCCTGATTGTCCGAACATGCTCATGAAAAGGAGCCTTTCTTTCTCGTAATCCCTGTTGCCCCTACTTAATCCCGGCGGATTAATCTGCTGTAAGCCTTTTCACTGATTACTCCTTTCTTGTCCCAATTGAATTTTCCAATGATACCCCCGGTCTCCAGACGCCCAGTGCCTGACGTCCTAGCTATGGAGACTGTTCGATACGAGCTCACCAGGTGTGAACTTCGGTCAGAGGTTCTGTCTAGGATTGGGTTTCCGCTCATCACCCCTCTACTATTTCTGCATGTTCTGACGATCAGAGGACTGAGAAACAGCACTCCAGATCCTGCCTGGTTATCGCGCTTTCTATCTTGATACTCTTTAGCCACTACACAAAACCTTGAATTTACTTAATTTTCATATAGCTGAAAATGTTTCCGTGTACCGCGCATCACTATTCGGAACTACATCCCTCGACAGACCATCAAACTAAGGCCGGACAATCCAGCTAAATTCTGACGGATGATCAGTTCGAACATGTGCTTTAATTACTACCTAGCCAAAGCCCTGGGTATTTAACCCGGGTCGATTCCGACGTATTCAGACACTACAAACTTCAGGACACCCCTCATGCACCGTGTGTGGTCGGTAAAAAATTCACGTGCACTATGGACGAGAATAACTTTGCGTCCAGTCCTTTTACAGATTCTGTAACAAGATTCAATTTTGATAGGATGGTGGGTAATCTGAACTTTTCTAACCTTTCCTGGAGATTCCTTATCAACTCCGTTTATCGGGCCTTTTTCTGCTGAGTGTGCACTATTTTGATATGGCTACTCCTCCTCAGCCAATGAGAATAGCCCTTGTTTTTCGAGGTTATATCTTTTAGCAGGCTGAAGGTAAAAAGGTATTATGATCACAAAATTTCTATGGGACTATGAGGAACGTGTAAGATTTCATGCATATGAAGAAGACAAGTGACTATCACTCAAAAGGATCCTTGCGTAGAAAGTTCGGCGTAAGGGCACACGCGATTGATGTTCCTCTAAGCATTTGCCGTGGAAATAGCGACAAAGTAATGCCAGACGTGCTGTTGTTGTTGTGCCTTTTGATCCTGTGGCAGTCTATGTACAAAACTACTGCTATGAAACACATTGTTTTGCAATGACTGTTTCCATTTTGTATGGCAAGGGAAACTGAAAACAGATTTCAACGTATTTTGGCCTGGTCATCTTAAGTTTAGTATCTAGGTTTGGGACATCCATTTTCATGGTTCCAGAACAAAAGATTGAAGCCCCCCCCCTTTTCTAGGATGCACAAATATGACATTTAATAACGCATGACGCATAGACTGTAAACGCATATTACATTTTAATTTATTCATATAAATTATTCATATTCGATCAACATCTACTTATTACAAATGTTGAAGAAGCAATCGGTTCTCGAAGATATGTTATGCCAGTGCCCCCTCCTTGAGCCGTTCAATTATTTACTTATGCGTGCATTTAGATATTCAAATGATTTAGCGTGTCACTTTTTCGATGTTCCTTTATTTTTTTTTAAATATTTAGAGTGGTTCATTTGTGCCCAGCTCAATGGCAAACAATGCGCCTTTGCAGCTGATCCGGTTTAACATGACTTTTGTATCGCTCAGAGCGTGGTAAAGACAGTTTTTTTATTCCTGCAAATTCCTTCCAACAATGGTGTTTATTAAGGGTATGATCAGGGTAATGTAAGTAATAGGCAGCTATATATCTTACAGCATACAGCATAGCGTACTTGACTGTATGCAATCAATGTGATCTAATTTGAATTCTAGTTTCAATATGCCTGTAGGTAAAATACGAATTGTAATTCATATTCAGCTAGAGCAAAATGTGCAACTGTCTTATGTGTATGCATTACTAATCAAAGTAAATACACATCAGTGTCACCAACAGATCAACCGTGATCTCTACCCAAATATCATTGCAGAAGATTACAGTAAGCAAATTGACTCAGCTGTGGTAAGATAACAATAATATATAGCTATATAATATATATAGTAGTGTTAAGACTTATAGTATTTATCTTTCAAAAACGTATTGTAGTTTATTTTGAATAACTCATTTCAAAATACAACACAATTACCTACCTACCTACCGCTCCACCGCATGTCAGCTACTGCTGAGGCGGGCCATCATTACAACACAATTAAAAAGATATTAATGAAATCAAACAGATAAAGACTAAACATAATTTTTGACAATCCCAACCAAAAGTGGCACTGTTCCAATGTCACGTGGTCACCTGGATGATCTATTTTTCTGTCCATGCCATCTTGTTTCACGTAACATAGAATGTGAGAGTTTTTTTTTGCAATGGAGGAATTTCACAAAGGTATTTGTGTCAAATAACTGTATCAGTTGGATATGCTATATGATAATAACATTAAAGCCCCGCCGTATCTTCGCTGTATATGGTGATATAATCCCTGGTCAGGTGCTACGCTCACCTGGTAATTCATTCGGTGGTTATCGTACCTGACCAAAGATTATCTCACCATATACACCTCAGGGCGGGGCATTAACCCTTTATTGCTGTATTCCTTTTCCCTGTTTATTCATGACCTATACTTAGCTTGTAAGAGCATAAATGTACAATAAATGTCTTTCAGTCATTCAATAATTGCCTTTCCAAATGTGCATTATTGCTATTGGAAAATGATCATGGAAATCTTCATGGTACTGTACGCCGCATCTTATCACAATAAAGATGGGTATGAAATATGGTAAAGACAGTTACCAGATCTCAACAGAGCTTTGGAGCAGTTTATTTCCCATTGCCAAATTTCGGAACCATGTCAACTATCAACAGGTGTTTCCATGCCTCGCTGTGCACGCTGGGATTCTGCGTAAACAATGCGCATTCCTTTCAAATTGATGACAATAATTACTCAGGAATTAATTAGGAATGTTCAGCCCGTAACTTGAAATATTTAAAATTTTATCATTATAAGTATGAAAAGCCAGACTATTTCCCACGGCATGAAACACCTGTCGCTTTTCATAATTGTGGCAATTTTCTATTTTTGCAGACATTTAGACGAAACAAAAACACACATCGGGACGCCCAAAATGTAATACCGCTAGTAAAGGTGGGTAACTGTTTTCTCACGTGCACGCATCTGATCTATCTCTTCAGGTGGTTAGTTTGTTTCAAAATCCCGTCAACTAATAGGGATAGATATCCACCATAGCAGGCTTCATCAGGACTGGGGGGTTATTATGTACTATTTTCTGATTGTATATCAATATTCTGATTGTGACAGTTTCCTGATAGACGACAAGACCGCCACAAAAGACAAGCCCTTAAGCCTACAAATGTGGCTACTGATAGAAACCTTTCCAGCTGCATCAGTCGACTTGATACGAACAGATGTATTAGGTTTTTATCTGGGACGGATATCGTATATCTTATCTTTCCCCGGAGGCAAGACTGTGCTTCATCCTAAAAAAACACTAATGCAGCAATCACATTATTTGTTATTGATGCCTCAAGCAAGAAACACATCGGTTGTTATGGCGACATAAAAAGTCATTATCTGTGTTGTTATGCCACATGTTGGTGCGTTGCTACTGAGTGGGCAGAGGCAGAAATTGTCTTAATTGCTTTACCAACCTGCACACGTAGTTTTATCATCCTCCAGCGTTGGCAATATTATAGAGTAAAATCCTTGAACAGCATGACATTTAAACTCATGAGGCTAGTCAAACTGTGGTCAGTACGGTATTCGTTAATTGTGCCTCGTGTCTCATGCAATGTTTCCTCGTCTCAGGTGAAAATAGCTACACTTTACCGTGCTGTCTCCTTTGTACTCTCCTTTTTACTGCAATTACTTTGATGCTTTACTTTCAACATCGGCTTCACACTTTCTTTTTCTACTTTCATTTTTTAATCTGAGTGGGGAAAGGTGGGATATGACAATGTTATAGCTTATTCACATTCACACAGATCTAGACAATATTGTCAACAACTTTACTTCTCTTCCCACGTAGCGGCTCTCTACACCTTGACATGCTCTCACGTTTCTTGGCTAGTTATAGCTCCTGGAAACCTTGCTGTCGGATCCGTTACAAACAAACGCTGCCGAAAACATAACGGATGTAAAAGCCAGTACTTACCATTGGAGAGTAAGGGGAGTTGAGTGTGGCTTTAGTGCGCGGGCGTTTTCCTTTTCGTCATCTGTGAAGAATGGAGAAATTTATATTATTTCAATTGTCGGCATTTCATCTCAGTTGAAAGATCGATGAGCAAAGTGAAAATAAAATAATGCCCCCAATATATGGAAGAAATATTCAAGGAGGGCGAGAAGACCCTGGCTAACAATTAACTTGCAGCCTTATCTCCGGTAAAAATCGTATGAGCACTCGTCATCACTGTTCAGTTATAGTGTTATAAATAGTTCCTTTTTGTTCGTCGCGTATATGTATGAAGTTAAACGTATTATAGTTGTACCAGTTACCTCCATGGAGCCTGTACGGTACACGCAAAAAGGTAGTGATAGGAAAGGGAAGATAAAGATGATTATGTCTGGGTGTGTGCATGTGTTAGTGTGTCTGTGCGTATGTCGCTGTGTGTACGTATGTCTGCGTATGTATGTACTAGTATGTCCGCGGATGTCTAGATTGACGTAGATGTATAGGAAAGTGACGTGGATTCATCCGAGGGGCGAAAACGTGTATAAAGACGTGTGACAACACCCGGCCAAACTGATCATACAATAGATGTTATGATGCTACAATACAGTTCTAATACATTTATCATAAGTCTCGAAGGTTTTCTTGGTTGATGTGGTGGTGTATAAGCAACATGGTCGGAGAGAGGAGGTCAACAACAGTGTCGGAAGATTAATAGAAAGGCGTAATAATTGTCGCAAGAAAAGGCGTAAACTCAGTTTGACAGTTTTACACCTGTTCTCGCAATGTTTAATGCGCCTTTCTAGTATTGCACTTTTAACAGTTCGTCTCCTACACGTACCACACTAGACTGTTGCAAGAACGCGTAAAACACTTCTTGGGGATGACACGGCAGTACCAATTGATACTAAAAGTAATCCAGGTATCTCCAAAGTTCTAGAGCTTTTTGTGGCAGCCCATGATTGTCTTCCTGACCGACCGTAGATTACTTTCCAGATGCTGTGGATGCTGGCAAAAGGAGACATTTTCTCGAAACCGTCAAGTTTTAATCCTAAAATCAGCTGAGCGATCACGCCCCTCCTGACCCAGCCAGACTTGTAACAATTCATGCTTAATAGACCGGAACCCTGACAGACCCGGTTCGTTACCACTCCATTTTGTGTCATGCTGTAGAAAAAAGCGCCTGGTTAAAGCAGTATTGGGAGAGTATTTACTCGACTGTTTACGTCTCAAGCCTTTCCCCAAATATTGTGATAATATTGCAGAAGTCCTCCTAATGCTAATGCACAGTATGTATTAGTACGAAGAAAAATAGCCTGGTAGCCATTTTCCACGGGCTGTGTTACCATTCCCAGTCATACTACTAAAGATAACTAAAGCACAGTCCTTTTCAACGTTTTTCTTTCCAGCCAGCCTTTCTGACCACAACGAAGTAATTGAAACCAACACCTCAACAAAACTTCCCGCCGCGCGCTAATATATGGGCTTGGGCGGGCGGGAAGCCCTCCCAAGCCGGAGTGATAGCGGGGAACTGGTTACTACCAAGCCAGAACACAAAAGAGTGTTTTCGTACCCTGGGGACAGACCCCGCAGGTCGACTCCCTCCCAACAATATTAATTGCCGGACCTTTTACGATCCAGCCCGAAGACATCACCCCTAATCTCCGTTACTCTCCAAGCAGATGTTGGAGAAGATTTTGACATTTCTATTACATGCTGTTTTTTGTCACCGCTCTCCATCAACAGACCAACAGAAAAAGGGGCAGAGGAGGGAAATGTCATAATCTTCTCTACCGACCTCTGCATGGAGACTCAGAGTATAGGCCGTCCCCTTTTTTTGGCAAGGGGATGGCTGGCCTCCAGGGTACCATTTGAGTAGTCTCCACCAGACTTCTTTTGAAGGCTGAATAAATCGTAGACATCGGCCTAAATAGGAGAGAAGGTAGCCGGCCGGAGATTAATACCCTATTTAGGCCGATTTCTACGATTTATTCAGCCTGCAAAAGAAGTCTGGTGGAGACTACCATTTGAGTGGAACAGACGATGTTTTCCTTGAAAGTCCTTTCATTAGAGGACAGCAAATAAAAGCTGCATATTCTGCGATCAGTACAACACATGATGGGAACAAGTAACATCTTTGCTAATTTCAATAGATACGTCGATGGCTTGTGGCAAACAAAGGGTAAAATGGTTTGTTACAGGCGTTTGATTACCATTAATAGCTACATGCGTGCGCTGCTGGAAAGCGATCAATTGAGAGGAAAGGAAATCGTATTAGCAAGGGCATTATATACTGTCCTTCACTCCTTGGTATTCAAGCGTTTTCCTTCAGTGGCGTGGGGGGGGGACAAGGTAACAAACTGTTATTACTAGTGATTTTACCTTTGGTTTGTTTGTTTGTTGTAGTGTATCTTACATTCAGCTGAGTAATTGAGCCCAAACATATCATGCTTCAAAGCATTTGCTCTTGGTATTTCTGTGAAGAGTTCAGTGTGCCAGGCGAGTAAATTGTTTACATCCAACAACAATAGCTGGGAGACGTCCGCGCATATATTCCTGTGCCTTTGTACTACAGTCATCATGTAAATTGTTAGTTGTAGATGCAAGTGGGTGGCCTGCACAGTAGGTTGAGTCACTGAATATCGTGGTAGCTGGCACTCTAGACAGGCGCGTTTAAAATGTTTTCCTTCCGTGGTGTAGCTGGTAACTCTATCCCCGCAGGCGACACCACGGCCGCCCGCCCAGCCCTGCACCAACCACGGATTTTCGTCTCACTTACATCGTTCGAGAAACCGCTATTTTTGTCATTTCCAGGAACGTTATGTTTCATCCAACAATTTCGAATTGTTGAAAAAAAAAGGAACAGATGGATGCCGTGATGTTTAAAAGGCCAGCTGCCCTGCCTGTGGTTCAGGTAAGATCAGTCCACGAAGCCACACAAAAGGGCCCGATTACCTAAAACAGACGTTGCGTTTTCCATTGATAACAACACCCTCACTAGTACAGGGGTACATCTAATTCTGTTAAAGTGAATTGTCAAGCTTTGAAGAGTTTCTTTTTGCCACTATAAGGTATAAAATTTATAGCATTGGTGAAGACACAGGCGTATTGTGACTTCGCCAGACTATATCGCGTGTGACAGGGCACGAGATGACCGGCTCGTTCTAAATCAAGAGCACCGGCTTGATATTTATCATTCTTCACATTGACAAGCCTGTTCGGATACTGCCCGGGTGGACGTATCCAGCCAATAGTTGCCATAGCCGGCAACACCACGAAACCATGCGAGAGATCATCAGGTGGTGAAAGATCGGGAAATGAAATGAGAAAGACAGAGAAAAATGATGTGTCACCGACCTGGCTTACGGTCCCGCTCTCGAGGCAGGCTGTCGCCCTCGCAGAAAGCATCGCTGCTGACATCTGCCGGGCTGTCACTCTCGTTCAGGCACTGCTCGATCCAGTTTTCTGCCATCGTAACAGAACACATTAGTCCTCGGGAATCTTCCCTCCACTGTACCGTATCACGCTTCTCCCGTACAACCTTAAACCTAGAGGCTGGGACTGACGTTATAAGCCTATCGTTCAGCCAAAAGGACCCCGAGGCTTAAGATAATCCAAATTGTAATACGGTCATTGTAGGCAGGAAGGACCCATTCTTTGTAAGGTTCTGCTGCTCAGTTCTATCTTGGGAGATGAAAATGATTCCCCTATGTGAACTGCCTGGAATATACTCAGTAACGCCAGCCCTGTTATGCAGTCCTGGTTGAATGGGAGGTGCTTTGACGGTCTTACTGTCAAGTCACCAGCCCGCCCTCCAACTTTTCAATGGTCTATTTGCATAATTGGTGCCTACAAGGATCCCACAAGGTGGTCCTTGTATTCAATGTCCCTTGTCCTTTGTTCTATAGACTACGTCACCGCACCTATTATAGCTTTCAAGACTTTTCCGAACTGTATCAGGATGACAGTATGCTCGATTTTGTGTAGCATTATGAAATCTCAAGCAGATGTTGGGGTAGTAACGTTTTCTTGGGAGCTGTTTTTTTCTTGGAAATCCCTTCAGAAACTGAGAAAGGAAACAATAGTCGGATTAGTTGGGCAACCCTGGTTGTTGTAAGCCGAACTAATAACTATATAAACGCCGTTCTTGTTGAGTGTTTGTGTCCTCAACACGTAAAGAATACTTTTGTCTGTGTTTCAAGCCTCTAGACTCATACTGCACATTCTAAGTAGAATGAAAGCTTTCAACTTACAAAAATACAAAACAGGTTTTCACAGACATGCGTGTTCATTTATTGAGTCAGCGACAAATCATTACCACTGAAAAATCACCGTGGAAAAATATGAAACTCAAAGTCAACTCAAATCAGGCGAGAGGCTCGGCTACACCAATATGCTGTTCGCTAATTAGCCATGATTGACAGTTCAAGACGAGCAGTAGTTGGAGGAATTTGATATACTCTTCTTCCCAATTGGCGGAGATTGACGTTTGGTAACTAGGCAATGAATAGATATGGCTACGTGGCAATTGGCGTGCTTGCCGCGATCCTTGTTGTTGCGAGGAAACGTGATGATTCGGAAGAATGGCTGCCCTGATAACATAGATGGCGGGATTTTGTCAGCTGTTTAAGTTCTCTTGAGCCGCTGCGTTCAGATAGCCACATGGAAGATAACTTGAATCAAGGATATTATACACAGATGTCATTGCTTGAATTTATTGCCGGAATGTATATGTAAATGTAAGCTAGCATCGAAAGTTTAAATGTTGCATAAAGGCTTCATAGCAGGCTTGTACCTGCTATTAAAGGCCGGAAGACTATCATCCCAAGCAATGACATTATGCTCTTGGTCCAAGTAACCACAAAAAGTCTCCGCGACCCCATACCTTCACCATGGAGGTAGAAACTTTCTTCTACCTCCATGCCTTCACCAAACGATGTTAAGGCCACAGTAAGGCCATGTTGATTTGATTATATGGATGACATCCGCGCGCGCATGGATTTTCGGCCGTTTCCAAAAAAAAAAAGTTTTCAACCATACTGTAAATCGTACAAAACAGTTGCAAAATGAGCAAAAATATAACGTAAGTTAAAAAAATGAATAGATAAAAACTATACCAATGTCGTAGAATGCCAAAATCAAACGAAAAAATCCGAAATTGTAAAGAAATGAACTTGAAAACTAGATTATTCGCCGAACCATATTCTGTCCCATTTGTTCAACCCTCATGACCACGTAGATTTCATAATGAAAACAACTTTTTTTTTGCAAAACTTTTTTTTATTCGCACGCGCGCATCAGTTTTGGGGCTCCCGGAGGATGTCATCCATATAATCAAATCAACATGGCCTAAGTAAATTCTAGGGAAGACATCTACCGTAGACTTCTGCGATAGGACAAAAAAATCAAGTAAAAAATAAACAAGATTCCTACATTTTGAGATCATAAACCTTGTGAAACAAGAATTGAGGAGACAAAACATGATCTAAAACACAAGGCTCAATCACTCACTGAACTGTCTGGAAGCCACAACCAAGGACATTATACACAACGAACCGGTATTTGAACTGTCGGATGTCCTAAATTACCTGCCTCATAAAACTGTATGAACCTAATGTGTCAATACTGAATAAAAATAATGAAAGGTTTTCAATCATGGTATTTATTTATTGATCATGCAAATGTGGTCTTCATTTGCATAATTGATATCTAGGCTACAAATAGCATGCATAGTCCAGTGATTAGCGACCCTGCTTTTGGACCAAAAGGTTGTTGTAACTCACCCGACATGCACGCTACTGGAAAGGTATCCATATCAATTATTGTATAAACTTCAGGACATATTGCTATTGAGCATTTCCACGATGATCATTAAAAGAATGCCCTGATTTTCATTTCTACCCAAGTTACATACGTCACATCTATCATCATTTTCAAATCAGTGAAGTAGCCAACATTTATTATGCAAATTAGGCATTTTCTACAGAATTTGGCCTTTGCAAGATGTGTTACCTCAGGCAACCCAATTTATGTTGGGCTTTCAACTCGAAACTGCACGCCATCATGTCTAATACCCAGCTCAGATGATGTTAACATTTACAACTGACCAATTGTTAATTTTTCGCATTCATTATGCAAATAAGATACTCGTTTGAATTATATCAGTTGATCATATTCTCCACCAAATAACAATCTTATCTTTCAATAAGAAAGAAAGTCATTTCAGCTTTTCATCATAAACTATGCAAATGAAAAGCAATAAGCAATCAACCTGTTTTAAATAAGTTATGTTTAATGATCTTCACTTTCACCTAAATATGGTACAGAAAGTATGAAACTTTCTGCAGTTACCATTATGAAATCATAGCATTTTGTTCATTAATTATGCAAAAATAATGACTATCATCTGTCGATGTTGTCCTCGTTCTCAATTATATATGTCACAAGTTTGGAAAGCCTTATCTTGGAACACAGCAGATTTATAGAATTACCTCAATAATCATGCAAATTATATTTTATACAATTGGTATCTAATTATGTCAAGCACCACTCAAGCTACCTACATTCTAAAAATCACAACGATCCGTTAACCTTTTTTTTTAAATAACCGTTTCTGCAGTTCCAGAACAAGCTGCTAGGGGCCCGTAATAATTGTCACGAGGAGATTGTTACGCAAGCAACTGTCAGACGTCAAGTAGCATCCACCACCTTTCCACAGTATAGTGGATGCTACTTGAAACGTCTGACAGTTTTCAAAATTCATCCACTTCCTTGTGTGGCGAACTCACTACATGTATCAGGGATTTATGATACCTAGGCAATTCATCGACATCGTCTTTTGTCACGATTCATGTTTGAAAACAGAGCGGTCTCTTTAATGAATGAATGGGCAAGATCCGACATGAAAATAGACATCTTTGCCTAATTTCAGCATGTTGACTACTGTCAGAGGGCAAAAAAGTTTTTGGTTTTTTCTTCTAGAATCAGACGAAATTAATGTGCTCGTCGATGTCATACTTGTTTTGGCCTTGTCATCATCTCCAAGAAAACAGAAACGTCTCCAGCGTGCACAACCCAACCCCAGCCGATAACCCAAGGGTTGGAATATTCATTGAAGTACGTGCAGAAGTAATTATAACGACGGGGTGGGTAAAAACCGTGCCATTGAGACAAGAGGACAATTTAAATTGACCTGCGCGACCTCAAAGTACACGTCATGCCGGACGCAAAACTTGGAACTCCCCAACAGTAACAGGATTTCGCAAGGATCAACGAGGATATTTCCATCCTCAAAACGATACAGCTGTAGTAAACGCATGAAAAATGTATTCATTTTTGGCGACAGCAAAAATGCAAAACTATTCATGTATTTTAAAGTGAGAGTTTCCGAATTTAGCGGTTTCTAGTGTCAAAATGTAATTTGTATACGAAACTTCTTAGAATGTGCAGTAGGCCATGGAGAAGATGAAATACTTCTACAGCGGAGCTCCAGAACAAGCTGCTAGGGGGAACAAACCCACACCACATGTTCCTGACAGGAAAAGCTATCTGTTACCAAAACGTCAAGACCGTAGCATTTTCAGGACAAAGATACAAAGACCAAAAAGTTCGGCTGCAGTACCAAGGTCAGCCACCAGGAGGCACAGATTTGACCTTGACCTTTGATTTTCTAAGAACTACCAACATACTAAATATCATAGAAATCCATGAAGGCGTTCTAAAGTTATGCTGACCACAAGTATGCGGAAACACGCACACAGACACACACAGACAAGCTGAAAACAATACCTACATTTTCATGTAGGTAATAAACATGAAACTAAAACCGTGAATTATGTATGATTAACCTCGTATGCTACCCTCATTTCTCAAAAAATCAAAACAGATTCAGTATTCTTTAGTCATTCTCTTCCAAAGTCTTCAACTTATTCTTGCTTCTCGTATTGTTTGTTTGTTTGTTTGTTTCGCATAACCGATAAACCTCCTTCAGGTGTAACACACCATTTTTTGTACAAGAAAGTACAAGCTGCGACGGACTGTTAAGGTTTGAACCACTCACACCGGGAAGGACCCCTACTCTTTTCGATAAGTGTGGATCTTTAACGTGCGTGGGGTGTGACTCTCCCCACATGACCTCCATTTAACGTCCTATCCGAGGGACGTCCCTATTGTCCCTTGGTACTCATTTCCACCTGAGTGAAGTGAGGAAAGTTTTGTATATAAAATTCCTTTCCCAAGGGCACAAGATCGGTGACATGGTAGAATTGACATAATTAGATGACAATTACTTGCTTACTGCTTAGGCGATGGCAAGTTATTTTTATGGATGACATGAGCGCGTGGATTAATTTTCGACTGAGGTTGGAAATAAAAACATGTACAAGAAATTTTTTGCCCTTTGACAGTGGTCAATATGTCAAAAATGGGCAAATATGTCTGTTGCCATGCCGTGACGTGGATGGCAG